GGTGGGAGATAATTGAATCATGATGGCAGTTTCCCCCATAATGTTTTCATGGTAGTAAATAAGTCTCATGCGATCTGATGGTTTTATAAGGGGTTTCCCCTTTTGCTTGGCTCTCATTCTGTCTTTACTGCTGCCATGTAAGACGTGCCTTTTGCCTTCCACCATAATTGTGAGGCCTCCCCAGCCACATGAAACTGTGAGTCCATTAAATCTCTTCCTTTATAAATTACCATTACCCAGTCTTGGCCAGGCACGGTGGCTCACGCCTGTAATCCCAGCATTTTGGGAGGCCCAGGTAGGCGGATCACCTGAAGTCGGGAGTTCAAAACCAGCCTGGCCAACATCATGAAACCACATCTCTACTAAAAAATATAAACATTAGCCAGGCATGATGGCACTTGCCTGTGATCCCAGCTACTCGGGAGGCTGAGGCATGAGAATCACTTGAACCTGGGAGGTGGAGGTTGCAGTGAGCTGAGATCGTGCCACTACACTCTACCCTGGGTGACAGAGTGAGACTCTGTCTCAAAAAAATAAAATAATAAATAAAAAATAAATAAATTACCCAGTCTTAGCAGTATGAGAACAGACTAATAATACATCTGACAAATGAGGATTTTAATGCAGTGAAGTCATATTTTACTTAGAAGTTAGGTTCTTAAGGGGAGAATTTATTCATAGTGAAAATTATTCTTAAATTCCTAAGATGATCATAAACTGACCGGGACATCAGCCCCCAGTAACTTTAAAGTCAAGTCTGTCTTTTCTTTCTCCTTGCATTTTGGTGTGGCTTCCCTTTCTCTGAAAATAGAATATCAATGTCTCATTAAGAGGAAGAGCCAGATTATCTAGTTCGAGAGACTCTAAAGACATGTGTCTGCCTCTCTCTCTTTTTCTTTCTCGCCTACTCTCTAAATCTAGTATGGTTGAACAATAATGAGATAGATGACCATAATGTCTAGCTCTAAATTCGTTGCTACTTCATTGGGTTACTTTCTATTAATATACATATTTATCCCTAATAAATACTGGGTGGAATTATTTTATTTGTCAATGCCAACCCTGTGCAATTTTTTATATTTATTAGAATATGTGCTGATCTGTTCTCCCATTGCTACAAATAAATACCTGAAACCGTGTAATTTATAAAGAAAAGAGGTTGAATTGGCTCACTGCTCTGCAGGCTGTACAGGAAGCACAGTGGCTTCTGCTTCTGGGGAGGCCTCAGGAAGCTTCTAATTATGGAGGAAGGTGAAGCGGGCACAGGCGTCTCACATGGTGTGAGCAAGAGCAAAAGAGAAAGCGGGGAGGTGCTACACACTTGTTGGCCAGGCGTGGTGGCTCATGCCTGTAATTCTAGCACTTTGAGAGGCTGAGGTGGGTGGATCACTTGAGACCAGCAGTTTGAGACCACTCTGGCTAACACGGCGAAACCCCATCTCTACTATTAGTACAAAAAATGGCAGGACATGGTGGCTCATTCCTGTAGTCCCAGCTACTTGGGAGGTTGAGGCACAAAAACCACTTGAGCCCGGGAAGCAGAGGTTGCAGTGAACCAAGATGGCGCCATTGCACTCCAGCCTTGGTGACAGAGGGAAACTGTGTCTGAGAAGGAAGGAAGGAAGGAAG